TAAAAGCATTCAGGTATAAGAAATTGTAGCATTTGTGGCCTTTACTATAAATAATCTTATTGAATTATTTAGAATTTTATCATTTAGTTCAATACGGTAAGACTCAGGAAATGATAAAACGCTTTATTTCAATTGTACTTTTTTCTTGGTTGTATTTATAGATTGTTCCGCATGAAAATACTCACAACACGTGCAAACGCACTACAAATAGCACAAACAACATTAAAAATGTGTTGGCGGACCACAAAAAAAATCATCCCAACTGATCTAACCTTTAAAATTCCTTTCAAATAGAGATATAAAGTCATATGGTTAAATTGTATTCATATCACAATATATATAGCAAAATAGAAAAAATATTGCAATGTTAGAATTTTCCAATATCGTGAAGCTCTAGCACTATTAATAACTGATCCAAATAGAGAGGCAAATCAACATTGTAGAATGATTTCTGAATGTGACATCTACAGTAACACCAGGAATTTGTGATAAAGATTTACCTTCAAATCAAAGTAATGGATTATCTTTTAAAATGTATTTGCATAGAGAACTACCTTAAAAGCGATTTTCTTTTTTCAAATAAAGCCACTGATTAAAAAAAGACATTGAGTATGCACCTACATTTTTGTAACACTTTTAACTATAATATTTCTGTGCTATACAGCTTAAGATAATAACATATCCATGTTTTAGCATTATTTTTGCAACTATTTTAGTGCTATATAATATTTAGCTGTCCCTAAAATCACTGGTCCCACACAAACACATACACAAAAATCATGAATTATTCAGCAGTCTCATCAAAACACAGTCATGACACTGCCACAAGGTCTGCAAACATGTCAACCCAAGACACGCTGGCCCACAGTAGCTAAAACCACTCCAGTACATCAACATATCACTGCCATGGCATTGGCTACTGTACCTAAACCAGCAGCTTTTAATCATGTGATATTTGTTATAATTCTCCTTAATAAATAAAGCCACAGTTTACAGTACTGTATAAAGACAGACATCTAGACAGAAGATACCGGTCAGTTGCTGCAAACTGATCCTGTGACATGCAACCCCTCATGACAGTAACCGACACATAAAAGGGCAAGCTAATTTTCAAGCTGTCAGGTTAGGCAGAGGGGTGTAAAACACACAGGCTTTATGGGCAGGTGAGGCCACAGAACACAGCCTAAACACACAGAGGACAAGACAGATCTGAAGCAGTGACAAGGTGCCTGGCATTTACTGTTAACTTTGCTTTTGTTTACAGGCAAATGTATAAAGGTAATTTACAGTAAAAGAGCTAGTTGTAAACCAAACATATCACCAATGAAGGATTATGAATAATCACTGCTTTGGATGAATGTGTCTGCTAAATAACTAAATGTAAATGTAATGTTAGTGTTGACACAATACTGGAATTCGATACCAATCAGTACTGATTTTTTTAAAACGTCCACTGGAGCATTTTAAAGCCGTGAAGATCAGTCGATTCATCAGTGTATCGCTCATTTGTCAGCTTATAAACAGATCAGCTGATCTTCGTGACTTTTAAACTCTCCAGTGTTCCTGTTTCTGTTGTTACACTTAGTAAATAGCGGTGAGTTTGGTGAACTGATGACCTTCACGATCAGTCACATTCATTTCTGTTGAGCATGCGAACACAAAGGCAAAACGTGCTCAACAGAGCTCAAATGTTAGCAGGAAATGGATATTTAAAAAATTTCAGTACAGATTGATATCGAATTACAGTATGGTGAAAACACTAAAATTCATATGAACCTTTAGAGTCCATTAGAAATAAATGATGTGATGCTTTTAGTATACAGATATATCTACTACCAACAAATTAAAATGATTTTTTACCACCAACGCACATATGTAGACCTAGCTAAATTGTTTGATCAGTCTAAATGTGCATCAATAAAATAATATATAATATAATAATATGTACTGTATATACACGTGTGGAACACTATGTTCATATCTCCAAAGATACATCGATACAAAGATACGTTTAATTGAATTATTTATACAACGAAGACTACAGTGTTATTTTACATTTAATTATTCAATTTCTGCAAATGAATACCAAGAAAACCTGATTTTATTTAACTTTTATGTTTGCTCTATGCCAGTGTTTCTCAACTAGTGGGGAACATTTTCAGTGAGTCGCGGAGTGTGTGGTCAAAAAAACAACATCTGTTAAATTTTTTACTTATTTTGCTTGTACCAGACTTTTATTTTGAAATGCGTGCGCGGCAACCGTATCGTTTGACATGTAAAATTTCATTTAATTATTGCAACAAATATGTCGAAGTGCAAGTATGTTCCCGAATATGTAAAGTATGGATATATATATATTGATGACAAAAAAAGACTTAAAGCCTCAGTGTCATTTCGTATGATGTATCTGTCACTACTTGTTTATGTTAACAAATGAACACAAATTAATTATAATTCCTAAAATTGTATTATAGTTCCTAAAAAGTTTGGGTCTTGGCTTGATGACCATGTAAAAATTTGGGTCTCATGGCCAAACCAGTTGAGAACCCCTGCTCTATGCTACTTTTCTGCGCTTGTAATTGTTTCTTATAATGTATGCGTGATTCAGTTCAATTCAATTCATCTTTATTTTTATGGCGCTTTTACAATGTAGATTGTGTCATAACATAGAAGTTCTAGTAAATTGAAACTGTTTCAGTCTAGTTTTTTAGAGTTGAAGTTCAGTTTAGTTTACTGTAAATTTTACTTCTGAAAATCCAAACACTAAAGAGCAAATCCTTTGATGCGCAGCTCCAAACCAAAACCAAGTCCCAAAGCAAGCAAGCCAGTGGCAACATTGGAATAAACTTCACCAATTGACGAAAGTGAAGGAAAAAAACATGAGAGAAACAAAGCTCAGTTAGGCACAATTTCTCCTCTGGCCTCTGATTCACTCCTCTACAACATCATCCCATTCAATTTAAATGACTGAATTCTTTCCAAGTAAAACTATTCAAGTCATCTGGTGAAATTGAATTCAAATTGTATTCAAATCACATAATTTTTTTCTAATATCGTACTGTACAGCCCAAATAAGAATTCACTATTACAATATTTCACTACTGCTCAAGTGCCAATGATAATCAATATATTCCATGAGTTGGCAAACCCCATCAAAGACATACAAGTTGTTACTTTATATCTACCCACAACTCAGTGTTTAGTTTTCCTCATTAAAGGGCCATGAAACCCCCCTGTCTCAGCAGGGTGTTTTCAAACCTCTAGTTTAAAAAAAGTCAGGAAAGTGGTTGAGTCCAAAAAGAGAGAAGGGTTTGCATGAAAAGAGTAGCTTCATTATGTGAACTACAGTGTCAACACAAACACAGATGTTGGGGAGATAGACACTAATTCAGAGAGCAGCATTTACAGCGGATCTGAGAGCTTTGTGGAAGTGGAAGATTTTTAGTCCATAATATTGTAGTGATATTACCGTAAACGTAGTAACTAAATAATTTTGACTAAGGTACAGTATGTCTTAAATAACTTAAAGAGTACTGCTGACGATACTAAATAACTGAATAAACAAAAACAAAGATTGCACACTTACCAAATCTGTAGAGACAGGACAATCAACACGAACTGAACAACGTCTTTTTTTTTTTAAGTAGATGAGTGACAAATCCAAATTTCACCATTTTCAGGTTGAAAAGCTCTAGGATAAAATAGTTCCTTATTAACATATTTTTGTCGCATGTTAGCAGACCACTGTAATCCAACTGCTTGGGTCCTCAAGTTGTGCTTTCATTGCAGAGAAATGGAAACAAAACCTTTGTTGCGGCACATTAATAAACTTAACATTGACGACCCATGTCTCCGAACAGTTCTTCTTCTTCTTCTTCTTCTTGTTTTATTATAGTTGGCAACAAAATGTGGCATCTCTTTGAACACTGTAACAGGTAAAAAGTTTCTTCAAGTGATGTTTGTAAACAAATTTCGGGAGGAGCATGCGCAGAAGTTTCAGTATCGAATACGTCATTGACAATTATCCCATCATCAAATCAGTTTCTGAGCAACGCCTATATATACCAAAGCTGTCTTACCTGCAGCATCTCACGACTTCAGCATCCCTCCACCACCCCGTCACCTCACCTCTTGCATTTCATTCCCGGGGGGAGCGCTCTGGGGCCGGGCTAGATACTTCGCTCGAATCCCAACTCCTCTTTGTTTCCTTATAAGGGGAATAACTCGAGTTGGGGTGTCTCCTCGAGCTCAGAGCCCTCCCCCCGGACAGCACGCCAAATACGCTTTATACCTAAACGAATGCAAGTGCGAACTCGTGAAAGCTATATCATGCATATAAATAAAGTTGCATCTCACTCACAACAGAGTGTGCTGATTGGTTCAAACCAAGTCTTTCTCATGAACTAATGAACAGATATGCTGAAAACTCAATGACGGGACTTTGTACCGGCTAGTACAGACAGCCAATCTCCATGCTAGAATTTACACAATGATTTCATTGCCATGATGTTGCTTCAAAATATCTTCATAAACTGCAAGATTGGATTCGTTCTAAACAATGCAAAAACAACCAATTTTACTTGTTAGTGAAATGTATGTGTCCCAATAGTGTTTTTAGCAATTTGGAACATATGACTGTCATCAAAGTTTCATTTGAATTTTATATCCTCTCCTGTTGACTCTAGCTGTCCACCCTGGGATGGCATCACATAAACTCATTTGCCTCAGCATAACAAAAGACCCAAAGCAAACCAAAAAGGTTTATGAGATACCATGAAAATGGAGAGAGATGAGGAGTGAAACAAGACGACTCATCCTGGGAATAGATGAAGAGTCACTGTAGGACCACATCCAGAGCAATAACTCAGCACAGCCAAAAACAGCTCGCACCAAGTGAGACACAAAAGGACCGATTTCATGAAAACAACAGACATGGAGCTGTGAGGTATGAGGCTGTTGGGTTGATTCACATATTGAAGACGATGAATGGCCGGCTTTACCTGCATGACCATCTGCTGCCAGGCCAGTGGTTGGTTGGTTCCGCCTGTGTTGCCACCCAGCAGTCGATCAGAGGGCAGGCTGCCGCGCTCCAGCTGCAGGGAGACATTGCGGCGTTCCTCTTCGAGAGCCCTTGTCAGACGCTCGAAGCGTGCCTCCTGCTCTTTGACTGATGCCAGGATACTAGCGGCTGACGGCACGTCATAGTCTTCCATAGCAGCCCACAAAATTAAATGCTGATTACAGAGCAGGGTAAGTGGGGGAGAGAGAAAGAAGGACCCGGGACAGAAGAAACAACCATTTAAAGGGATACAGTAGTTCAGCCAAAAATGTCAGTTCTGTCACCAATTACTCTTTCTTCAGTGAGAGACAAAGGAGTTATTGATAGCAGAATGTCAACTTTCTGGACAGTGAAGTGAATGGTGAGCACAGCTGTCATTAATGTACAGACCTCAGAAGGTGAATAAAAAGTATTTAAAGTTTACGTTTATCTATTACGCAGTGCTCTTTCATAATAAAGAGAGTTATGCAGTCATCCAAAGGATTTTTGTTATAAAATCAGCAGCAGTTAGTGGCAGATTTTATGCATTACATTAAAGGTTCAAGACACCCTTTGTCAGCTAATTTCATCTTCCGGGTTTAAAATAATTTTTGGGGTGGGATTAAAATCGGTGATGTAGTGCAAATCTGCTAGTGGAGTGATGACATGTCAGTTTCTCTTATTATTCATGGCTAAGTTTTTTTATCCTATGAGAAGACCCTGCTTCTTAATTATTCATGCAAGCACGTGGTTTCCGAAGGCAAGGCAGACCTGCCAAGCAATGAGACCCAATGACTGGGTGAGACAGTGTCCACGCATGGCACAGGTCGTATGTGTTTGTTTCCACGTTTTTCCCTGCGATTCTGTCAGGGCTGATACAGCAAAGCTGTTGGTTTGCAGCAAGCATTTTTGTCAAGAGAGCTGTAGGAGAATTGGAGAATGGCAGACTTTTTATTTTATCAGTTGAGTGTGTTACCCCTCAGACACATCCCCTATATCTGTGTTGCTGTGTCCGTCATATGTTTTAAATCCTCCAGATTACCGGCAGGGTTAAGGATTGGAATAGATAGGGCTAGAGACTTGCTGCACTGCTATGCACTGTGTCTGCATTCAGACCCGGGGATTGAGAAGGAAAGAAGTCCTCCATATTTAAAGTGTTCATATATATACACAATTATCTTTATAATGCTATAAATTGTGGTTATGTGTTTATGAAATTACAAATAACAAATATAGCAGGACATTCAAATATTACTATTTATTTCTTTGCATTTTAACTTAATAAAAAAAAACTTATAAAATCATGTGTCTTCTTGCGGTTTGTGTCTCATTTTATGAGCCAACTGACAACAGTTGTTCACTCCCCTCTTTCTCCCCTGCTCTGCTGGCCACTTCTCCTACTCAGAGTACTTTAGTACTTTACTTTATTCTGTGAAAGTTGTAGGACCAAGAAAAGTTGTCTAATCAAAATGTTTGAACATTATGATAGGCTGTCCCAACTCCCAGACAAAATATGTAATAGCACATCTCTTTGCACCCTATTCTATCAAGTTTTCTTTCTGGTAAATGTTACGTGATGTATTGTACTGCAGTACAGATGTCTAGTGCATGTTTATGCATTCCTGGCTTTGAATGTCAATTTCAAGCTAACATAGCATTTTACAAGATCTCTTATTGCACCTTTAATCATTTGGTACAAATTACCTGCATGCAAGTACATCTGTAATTAATTCCTGTAATAACATTTAGAATTACACTGTTGGTCCATGCATTACACTTTAACCAACTCTTAACCCTAAATCTTTCCTCAACCTGTATCCCACCTAAATTGTACTTATTTATTTTATTTATTTATTTATTTATTTTATTATTATTTTTTTTTATGCAAGTATACCTAGTATTTAAAAGAGACAGAAAATCCTTATTTTGTGGTGAACTACTGTTACATACATCAACTGAACAAATAACCTTTTTGACAGCCATGGTCCTCAAACACTTCCATTCTACACACAATTATGAGTTCTGAATATAAAAGTGAACTTATATTAGTTTGGAACAACATATGAGGGTGAGTAAATGAAGACAAAACATACATTTTCAGCTTAAATGGATAGTTTACACTTAATTAAAATGACCTCATCGTTTACTCCTCCTTGTGTGGTTTTAAACCTTTATGCATTTTATTCTTTTGTTGAACACATAAGAAGATATTTTGTTTGAGTTAATACTGATTGCTGGTACTCACTGACTTCCATAGCAGAAATGGCTAGAATTTAAATGAAGTTCATTACCAGGTTTTTGTACTGTAATTTAAATCAACCCAGATCATCCATACATGTCAATGTAAATATGTCAAAAAGGTCAAACATTTCAACATCAAAAATTGTTAGAGAAAAGATTACATATCACAAAAAAAAAAAAAAAAAAAAAAATATATATATATATATATATATATATATATATATATATATATATATATATAAAATTGTGATATGTCATCTTTTCTCTAACATTATATATATATATATATATATATATATATATATATATATATATATATATATATATAATGTTTAACCTTATTGACACATTAGCCGCATTTCCACTATCGGGCCAGTGCGAGCCAGGGCTTTAATCGGGCCGGGTCGGGCCAATAGCCCGGGAGGTTGAGAAATGAGGCTGAAATCATGTCGCGTTTCCACTGTGGGGCTAATAGCTCACAGCGCGTCACGCAAACACCGCCCACAGAACATCCCCGAATCAAACGTCACACAACCCGCCCACTTCAGCGGGAGTCAGGACAGGCAGATAAAGCACACCATAGAATCATCACGAAACGAAACCGTTAAAATGAAGACAACCGAGACAAACAAACGACACGTTACTGTACAGCAGTACATGAAATGTCTATACGCATAGACCTGTGTATTTCCATTCATTACATTTGGAGGGAGGGACCCAAGAGAGCGCACACATCCATAATATAAAGCCACAGAAATTCTCCTTTATAACTCGATATGGCATGTATTTTATAACATCCTCGTTTTGATAGAAGTGTTAAGTGTTTCAGCATAAGAGCGAGTAGCCTAATAAAATATAGCCATATTTGTTGCGCTCAGCAGCTATTCACTAAAGCTCTTCATTTAAAGATTCATTTATAAATTTAACCACGTCACATAAAAACTTAAACACTTGTTTGAGGATATAGAACACATTTTGTGTTTGGGCTTTCCCCCTTGCGTTTAAAGCAGCGAGCGCTGCGCAGGACTGAGTGACAGAAAAAAAGGTATAGGCTATTCTGCTTTCACTCACCGAAATAATGCTCTGTTTGCGCAATTTGATTAATATCATCGTATCTAAATACTTTATAAATATTTACTTGTATAAATAAGTATACTTTATATAAATATTATTGTTTTTAGAAAATATCAAAAATCTTTTTTTCAGACAGGTCTTTGTAAAATGAAAGTTAGGCTATATGTGGCTTTAAAACGGTTTGATTTATGTATTGTATATAGGCTAGCTACATTGTTATAGCTAGCTTTTGTTTATTTTATATTGGTTAATTCATTTAATGTGATTTTATATCTGATATTTGTAATTCTTTAAATTATATTTCAATAAAGCTTAGGCTATTTTATCAAGATATGACACTATATTGTTTAAAGTCTACGAAAGTGGGCACGTAATTTGTTAAGTTTTATGTCTTTCTGTTGTATTTATTTTGTGTATTATCTCCAAAATAAATAAAGAAAAAAGCCGCTCCCGGCATAACAGAGCTGTGAAGGAGCGCTCTTGCCCGGTCTCACACACACATACAGGCATCTAAACACGCACAAACAAACATTTTAAACTTGACAAAAACTCTCGAAAACCTTTACTGTCTGCTGTGTCTTTAATATGGTGTAAAGATTATTATGCGTTATTGAAACATAAAGGAGGACGCAGCAAAAAACGTCACTATAAATTAAAACTACTTTATTATTTTATGCAGCAGCCTGACATTTAAAAGGGAAACATAAGGGCGATCATACGCAAAAAGACCCTACACTATAAGGCTAGATGTTTTCTTTCCCTTATTTCTTTTTTTGTTTGGCGCATGTACTCATGTGCGATCAGAAAACTGCCCGCCTCTCCTTTCACTCCGCCCCGAAGCCCCAGCTGGCCCTCCTTGGCCCAAGGTATTCGGCGGGCCGAAAAAGGTCGGCTGCTGGCCCCAAGAAAGCCCCGCTTTGGCCCGATTAGGCCCTGGAAGTGACAGTGGAAACCCCAATGGCCTTGGCTCGCCCTGGCTCGCTCGCTTTAGGCGCGATAGTGGAAACGCGGCTATTGACAGTCCTGGCTGGGCCAGTTGGTATTTCTGTGTGGAGTTTGCATGTTCTCCCGGTGTTGGTGTGGGTTTCTACCAGGTGCTTCGTTTTCCCCACAATCTAAGAAGATGAAGTAAAGGTGAATTGGGTAAACAAAATTCGCCCTAGTGTATGAGTTTGTGTGTGAATGTGAGAGTGTATGGGTGTTTCCCAGTACTGTGCTGTGGCTGGGAGAGAATCCACTGCACAAAACATTCTGGAATAGTTGGCAGTTTATTCGGCTGTAGCAACCGATGATAAATAAGGGACTAAGCTATATACACAACAAGTGAAGAGTTAATTAATGATAAGAGTTTTCACTTTTGGGTAAACTATCCTTTTAAGGATCCCTTTAAATCTGATTATTTACCGCTAACCTTTAAAAAGCCATGTAGTTCATGCTTAACATACTGAAAATGAAGAGTCACATACAGTATGGCACAAAGCATAAATGGCTCCAGACTAAATTCACCACACAGACTGACACAAAACCGACTTGAAACCAGCATGAAAACATCATCCATGCAATGCACGCCACCTCAGACTTCTCTTCCACAGCGAAAGGTGACAAAACGACGGTAATGGAGGCATCACAAAGAGAATAAAACACCAAAACGAAAGGCTGAGGCGAGGTTCATACACAGTTCACCTGCATACACACCTATCAGTTAGTGGAGAGAGAGAGGCAGTTAGAGGACAGACATCCCCCTATGCGGACAGACAGGAGCAGATGATGTGCCCAGCGGCGAGCAAAGGCAGAGAGCGAGAGAGCGCAAAAGCTGAAAGAAAGACAGAAGAAAATCACAGGTTAGATAACACTCTGACATTATAAACATAATAGAAAGAATTCTGCTCCGCTTTCTGGGGATTTACCGAGGATGAAGATAAAGAAATGAATGAGAAGATGCTAGGGAATGATAAATGACTATTGAAACCTCACTCGCTGACTTTGAGCAAAGTAGATTGGACTGGGCTGTCAGGGGACAGGTGTACACTGACAAAGCGGCCCAGATTGAGTATGGGCTGTAAAAGGGAGGTTGGCGCAGATTAATATTTACAAAGAGAGCTATGCAGTTGTTGTTTTTTTCATTAACACACAAATGGACTGACACACAGTAACATAGACACGCTATTCTCTATAGAACCGTGGGTGTGAAGGTCCTATTCCCTTTGAAGCGCAGCACAGAACACACACACACACAGAGACACACACATGCTTTGATGTTTGTTTCTGGCTGATCATTTATTTATTTTAAGCGCCATTCTGACATGGCTCTAACGGCAAGGCATTGTGCTACTGTCTTGTTCTGGGTATAAAAAGCGACTACACGAGGTCTAGCAAGCTGATGTAGCTCTTGCCTCTGGAAAATAACTCCAGATTAAATGTATCTGCAAGATAAGACACGTTTACAAAAGCGTGATAGCTTATCATGAAAAATTTAAGTCAATAAAAATAGGATGAGATAAAAGTCCTAAATCATAGATGTAAACTGTTAGATCTGATTGAAGGATAACTTTTCATTCACTGTGGGAAATGAACCATTTTGATGATGCTTCAAAAAATGGCAACAAAGTGAGTAGCAATACGACTCAATGTGTCCTGCCATATGAAGTGTTGCTGTAAAATTAACAGCTTCGGTATTTCGTGATACACGGGTTTCTTCAATTTATTTATTACAGAATTGATTTAAGGGAACTTGATCTCTGCTCTGTCAATTTTTGATCTTGAAAATTCAACTGTGCAGTTTAACAAAGTGACGTTTATTGGCATTAGTGTAATTTCAAACAGTATACTTTGTTTAAGAAATAATATATAGAGTTGAGATATAAATAAATTAAAAGAAAAAAGTACTGGAAGTTCATTACCAGGTTTTTGCACTGTAATTTACAACTTTAACTCTGATAATGTAGGTGGCGCGGTGGTGCATTGAGTAGCGCTGCCGCTCACAGCAAGGTTTGAGCCTTGGTTGCGTCAGTTGGCATTTCTGTGAGGAGTTTAGATGTTCTCCCCGTGTCCACATGGGTTTCCTCCGTTTTCTCCCACAAGTCCAAAGACATGCGCTTTATGCCTAGTTCAGACTGCATGATTTTAGCCCCGGTATTGACTCGCCGACAGGTTTTGAGAAATCGCAGACAAATGCCTAAAATCAAAGGTAAATCGGTGCTCATGCAAGTGAGTAAAAAATCACATAGTATGAACTATCAAAGACGCAATCTGAGAGAATCGCCGATGAGTCGCCGATGCCTGCGAGATATTTGGCAAGCTAAATATCTGGAGCAGACGGGGATTTAAAACCATGTCTGCCGTTTGAAATGAGTTTAGACTGAAAATAACATTGGCGATTGCCTACAGCCAATGAGAGAGCAGCGTTCACTTGCGTGTGTGTTTACCTGCTGGCCAGCGGGAGGTTGAGGGAGAAGTTAAAAGGGCTCATTTTATGTTTATTTGGACCCAAGAAATGGAGGAAAAACTAGTGGAGGTTTGACAGGAGCACCCATGTCTGTTTGACGTTTCATACAGAAAGTTAAAAAAGAAAGTTGAGTAGAAATTGCTAATTGCCTTCAAACCCAGGTGAGCAAATGTATACATTTTCTACCCCATTAAAGGCTCGTTTCTCGTTATGTAGTTAATGATAAAAGATATACTACGTGTTTTTGGCTGTGAGACTCAGTTTGGATAAAGTTGTCGCTGATTCTTCCTATTGTAAAGTCATGCAATGTGAAAGCCCCTGTCTCTGATCCATCTTGCAGTGTAAACAAAGCAGCGACGAAATGCTAGCCCAGATAATTAATGCAGTGTGAAAACATCTGTGACACGACTACTTTGAAAATCATGCAGTCTGAACTCGGCATTAGGTCAATTGAATAAGCTAAATTGAACATAGTCTGTGTGTGTAAATGGGTGTGTATGGGTGTTTCCTTAAGATAAGTTACAGCTGGAAGGGCATCTCCTGCGAAAAACCTATGCTGGATAAGTTGGCGGTTCATTCCGCTGTGGCGGCCCCTGATTAATAAAGTGATTAAGCCAAAGGAAAATTAATGAATGAATAAGTTAAGAAAAAAGTACTGGAAGTTTATTACCAGGTTTTTGCACTGTAATTTACAACTTCAACTCAGACAATAGATCATATTAAACTATAAAAAAATGATTTACAGGCATATTGGTTGTCTGATATAATTTTTTTTTTTTTATTTAAGCAAGCCGCTACTGGTATTGATTTATACTCGGAGATAGTGATTTGAACAACCCTCTTTGATGTGTAAATCCTCATGTAGTTTTGTGCTACATATATAAGTATATATATATGATTTATGAATTATTTAAAAGAGAATTACAAATTTTACTAACTTTACACTTTACCATGTCCATTTTACCAGGTTTTATTTATTTATTTATTGAAGTCTCCCTATAAAAAAACAAAAAGGAAGTGATCACTAAATGTTTCTTTACAAATGTACAAGTACATTTAAAGTCAATTTTAAAGGTCATACACCCTAAACATTTTTTTAAATACTGGCGTATATATAATCATGTGGGACGTTGCAAAAATCACAACTAGGATGAATATATTTCACTATTAAATAAAAAAAATTAAAAAGGTTTCAAAAATACATTTTGAAGCAACGTCACAGGACATGAGGCAAATGGTTACATTTGGAGTGATAAATAGCCACCAGTACACAGTGATGTCATCAGATTTTCAGCGTTTCTGCACATTTATTCATGAGAAAAAGTTGGCTCCACTGTCATTGCCCACTATTATGAATGAGATCGTGCACTTCAATAAATTACAAATCTCTCCAAAACTATCACGTTGTCTTGGAAATCTTTGCTTTTCTATTCAAATTTATGTCTAATTATGTTTAGAAAATAGAACTAAAAGTTCTTCCAAAGAAATTTGTGAATCGAAAAGCTATTTAAAAGATGAAAAACAGCACACAACATCACTCATATTCATTCATTAATTTATTCATTAATTTCTTTTTGCAGCTTAGTCCCTTTATTAATCAGGGGTTGCCACCGCAGAATGAACTGCCAACTTTTTCAGCATACGTTTTACACAGCGGATGCTCTTCCATCTGCATTCTACACTCTTACATTCACACACATACGCTACAGACAATTTAGCTTTAGTTTGGGAAACCGAAGCGCCTGGAGGAAACCGACGCAAACACGGGGAGAGCATGCAAACTCCACACAGAAATGCCAACTGACCCACTATCTCAGAGTACAAGCAATACCAATATCGGCTTGCTTAACTAAAAGAACAAATTAAATCGGACAACCAATATGCCTGTTAAAGCTATTGAAGATTAAATGGGAATTGCTTATTACTACAGTAACTGTACTATTGAGATGTTATGAGGTTGTGCAAACCTCATTTTAGAGCAGCTATCAAAATCTTCACAGAAGGGCAGGGTGCTCTCATCAAAGGATTAACTGAGCTATGATGATGAGACGTTTGTGATTATGAACCCCTGCTTTAGGATTACAGAAGCTGCCTCTCCCACAATCCCAATTTTGGAGAGCACAGAGGCTGATGGGAAACTGGTCCCTGCCTCTCTGAGTAACAGCAGGAGAATGACAGGCATGTCAGACATGTCCACTGCATTTATCCCCACATGCTCCAGTCACTGCACTACGCTTAAAATATTCCAATGGAGTGGAGCATTCCATGCCTATTTCGGAGCTGGTTTTGCGGATAGTTTGTAGGGGGGAAAAGAGGGAAGAGTTTATTGTCAGCTAACTGTTCCATCAGGAAAATACCATCTTTATGCCACATTAACCTTCCTGCACTGATGGCAATATGGTTATCTGAGCTAATGGCTGTACTACAGATTAGCTATTTATTCAACAAGAACATTTTTTTAAAGGCTTAGTTTCCAAAAATATGAACATTGTTTTTATTCAATAACATTTCCAGTCAAAGAGAAAAAATAAAAAAATATATTTTGGAGAAATGAGATTAAGCAATTATTGAAAGTGATTCACTTTTATCACATAAAAAAATGTGATCCTGTTATAGTGTTCATTTTGTAAAATTGAGATTTACAAATTAAAACAATATGATTTATATCTATATACTGTAGTTTATGATCTATACAACAGAATAAATTGATCTAAATAAATAAGTTTTCCGTTGATGTTGTAAGGATAGGACAATATATGGCATAGATAAAAAAAAACAAAAAAAACTGAGGGTTAAAAAAATCTAAATACTGAGAAAATGTCCTTTTAAATTTCTTCAAATATTTATTTTTAAAAACTCTATGTGATAAATGGGCTATTTAATCAACAAGGATATTCGTTTACCCAAATATGAAAATTCACTTTTTTTATTCAATGACATCTATTTTTTTATTCAATGACAGTCAAAGAGCACAAAAGGTATTTTGGAAAAATGAGATTAAGCATTTATTGAAACCAATTTACTTTCATAACATAGATAAGATATGCAATCCTGTCATTGTGTCTTTTTATTTGAGATTTACAAATTAAATCAATATGATTTATATCAATGTAATTTAGAATCTATATAACAGAAAAAAAAATATCTAAACAAATAAGCTTTCCATAATTTAATTTGTTAGGATAGGAAAATATTTGAAAATCTGAGTGTTCAAAAATCGAAGTACTGGGAAAATCTCCTTTAAATTTATCCAATTTGTTAGTTATAAAAAATAATCTATAAGATCACAGGGCTATTTAAGCAACAAGGACATTTGGTTTAAGGGCTTAGTCTACACAAAAATTAAAATTCTGCTTTATTATTCATGA